ATCCAAGTCATTTCAGCTGCTGTGATAGCTAGAGCTCGATACTCAGCTTCTGTGGATGACCTCAACACAGTGTGTTGCTTCTTTGATGCCCAAAATATAGGATTGGACCCTAGAAAGATCACAAACCCTGAGGTAGATCTTCTATCATTGGATCCCCAGCCCAGTCTACATCACTATAGGATTGAAGATGTATTGGCCCTAGTGTAAAGCGAATTCCACTATTTGATGCACCCGTAAGATACCTGAGAATTCTTTTGACTGCAATGACATGGGACTCCATAAGATTATGCATGAACTTGCATGCTTGATTCACAAAGAATGTTATATCCGACCTTGTAAATGTGAGATATTGAAGGGCTCCAACCACACTTTTGTATTGATCAGGGCTAAGATGTGGCTTTCCATCATTTTTTAGAAGTTTGTGATATGGCAAACATGGAGTAGCACAGAGTTTGCAATCCTGCAAATCCACTTTGTCAACCAACTCACTAATATATTAAACTAGGAAACAAATAAGCCTTCATCTATGTGACTAATTGCAGCCCAGAAAATAATGCAGATTACCTAAATCCTTCATCTCAAACTTTGTAGTAAGTTCTTTAATTACTTGAGAAATCAACTAAGATGAGCTTCCAGTTAAGATAACATCATCAACATAGAGAAATAATACTACAATGCCTTGTTTAGAATGTTGAACAAATAAAGATGGATTAGCTTGTGAAAGCTTGAATCCCAGTGCAGGTAGAAAACTGGTGAATCTGTCATTCCAAGCTCTTGGAGTTTGTTTAAGCCCATAGAGCGATTTTTGAAGCTTGCAGACATAATTTGATGGATGTTGTGAGCTTTGAAATCCCGGAGGTTGCTCCATATACACTTCTTCTTGTAAAAAGCCATGTAAGAAGGCATTTTTCACATCTAATTGCCTTAGTTGCCATTTGAACTAAGTTGCTAAAGCAAAAATGAGTCTAATAGTTGTAGGCTTACCGACAGGACTAAATGTTTCTCCATAGTCTACACCTTCCTCCTGACTATATCCCTTTGCTACAAGCCTTGCCTTATACCTTGCCACAGTACCATATGCATTCTTTTTAATTCTGTACACCCATTTACACCCAACCAGGTTTTTACCACTTGGAAGTGGAACAATAGACCATGTATTTTGAGAATGCAGTGCATCTATCTCTTCATGTATTGCATTTTGCCATTATGGTGCTTTAGAAGCAACTTTGAATGTTTTAGGCTCTGAGATAACTGACTGATAACTAACACTGGCAGATAAAGCTATCCTTTTGATAATACCATTCTTGGATCTTGTTACCATAGGATGCATATTCATGGGTATTGGAAAAACCACATGAAGTTGTTCATGTTGGAAATCAGGATCCACAGGGACTGGATGTTGTGTCAATGTGTTTTCTGGTATCTCAGGAAGAAATAAGTGATTGGAACTAGGACTTGGTGATGAATGATTGAAAAGTGGGCTAGCAGATGCATTTGTTTCTAAGGAATCTGAAGCTCTAGATGTAGGCAAAGAATTTGAGTTACTAGATACAGCCAATGAATCTGGGGCACTAGATGCATTTGTTATTATTGAATCTGTGATATGATGGAGATGCATGAGAATGAAGGGGTGATGTGACTCGATTTGTTAGTGTAATGCATGACAGATATAGACAAGAGTACAATGAATGATGTGTGACTGTAGATTGGGAAGGTTTGACAGAACTTGAAAACTGTTTGTATGGAAAAATTGATTCATCAAATAAGACATGTCTAGATATGTATAGTTTATTTTGAGCAATGTCTAAACATATGAAGCCTTTGTAATTCCCTGCATAACCCAGAAAGACACATGTTGTTATTTTGGTTGTAACTTACTAGTGTTATATGGTTTTAAGAGAGGAAAACAGGCACAACCAAAAATTTTAAGCTGATTAATACTGGGAATTTGACCATATAACAGTTGATAAGGAAATTCAAAGTGATACAAGGCATTCTATTGATTAGATATGTTGCAGAAGCACAAGCATGAAACCAAAAAAGATTAGGTAATTTTACAGTTTGAAGTAGGGTAATTGCAGTCTCTACAATGTGCCTATGCTTTCTCTCAGCTAAACCATTTTGTTCAGGGGTGTATGGACGAGATTTTTTATGAATAATACCATTTTTAGCTAGAAAAAGTTGAAATTGAGAACTGGTATACTCTCCACCTCCATCACTTTGTAGAACTTTTACTTTGGCAGAAAACTGAGTACACAGAAAAGCATGAAATTTGACAAATAAAGCAAACACTTCTGATTTATTATTCAATGGGAAAATCCATGTAAATCTTGTACATTCATCTATGAAGGTTACATAGTATCAAAATCCTTCATATGACAATAGAGGGGCAGATCCTCATACATCACTATGTATGACTTCTAGTGGATGTATAGACTTGGTTGTAGGAAAAATAAAAGGTAACTTGATGAATTTTCCTTCTAGACATGATGTACAAACTGATTTACATGTGTCAAAATATGTAGAGACTTTATTTTGATGACGTATTGCAGAGGTGATTGCATTAGATAGGTGTCCTAGCCTTTGATGCCATAAACTTGTGCTAACAGGTTGTGCAAGAAAGCATTTTTATGATCGAGATGATGCAGATGATGGCTTATGATTAATATGGAAAGGTATAAAGTAATAACCAGCCCTACACAGCCTCTTGAGTAGGATTGTCCCTATGAATTTGTCCTGAACCCAAAAAGAAACATCATCATATATGAACCTGCATCTATTATCTTTAAATAGTTGATAAACTGATAATAGATGCTGAGATATTTTTGGAACATGTAACACATTCTTCAATGCAAGACTATGAGTATAAGTGTGTAATTTTGAAGTTCCAATGTGAGAAATTTGCAAACCTGCACCACTTGCTGTGGTTATTATGTCATTGCCTTGATATGGATTCTCTAGTTCCAAGTTGGCTATCTCAGAAGTCATTTGTGAGGTTGCACCAGTACCTGCAACCCAAAACTGTTCCATAGGTGTAGATGGTTAATGATTGACATGCATGGCTGAAAGATTTGAGGGTGGTGACTTGCCTTGATAGGCAAAATTGCCTCTGAACCTGTGACTGGTGTACTGTGTCTCTAGAAGAAATCAACTGCAACATGCCCTCTCTTGTTGCAAATTTGGCATGTGGGAATCTCAAAAATATGATATGGACAATAAGCTTGAAATGGTCTTAGAGTACCAGGAATTCCAGGACTTGCATTTGGTGGAAGATTATAAGGCCTTGGTCCAGAGTAATATAATTTGCCTCTTCCTTTGCCTCTGAAGTTATTGCCTTTGTAACCTAAAGAACTTGAGAAGCCTTGATAATGACCACCATTGTTGTGAAATTGACAGCCATTATTGTTGTAATGACCCCACAAAGTTTGACCAAAAGGTAACCCACTACCATCACTCTTATAGTTTTGGTCATTAATTCCAGAGCTTGAACCAATTTCAACAGAATACGAGGATTTTGATCAAGAACTAAAGATTTCCCTTTGTTTATTGTAGTACTAGCCACCAATGCAAAACCAAAAGATGTTGAAGACTCAAAATATTGACCAATTGTAGTCTCTTCTGCCAACAATTAGGACCTGAAATCCTTCAGTGAAATATTATTCTCTCTTCCTCTTATGACACATCTAAAGGTATTGAATTCTGTAGGAAGACCTTTTCAGGGCAATAATGATTATATCATCATCATCAAAATGAACACCTGCAGCTGCAAGATGATCCCTTGCATCCTTGATCTTTTGTAAATATACAGAAACAGATTCAGACCCTGTCTTGGTGTTTTGGAGTTCAGTTTTCATCTGAAATATTGTAGCTTTTGTAATTGTTGAAAATCTTTCAGCAAGATTAACTCATATTTCATAAGAACTTCGGCTCCCAATGATGCAGGACAGTGCAGTTGTAGACAGAGTTGCAATGATTAATTGCATAAGGGCACGATCGTGCATCTTCTAAACGAGATAGTCATCTTTTTCAATCCTTTCACTTGAAGAATCATTATCAAACCATGGAGGACATTTTCTTGATCCGTCCATAAACCCCATAATGCCATGTCTTTTGAAGATGAGTGTGATCTGAAAACTCAATGTGAGGTAGTTAGAATCATCGACCTTGACTGTAACGGATGTAGAGATGGTGGGAATAAGATTGGTGATCGGAGACTGAACAATCTTGATCTGATCATCAGTAACCATTGTTGATACTGTGTAGAATTCTTTCATTGAGACAATTTATCGAACAGTCGATATGCAGAAAACAAGAGCAATTTCTTGAAGCTCTGTGGAGATCAGAAGAAGCCAATTGTTTTTGTTTATCACAGAATAGATTGCAAACTAGAAGGTAAAGAAGAGAAAGAAATGCTTTGATTGAGGTGCAGAAGTGCCAGGTCGATGCTTGGTGATGATACCAAAGATTGAAGCAGTAGCTTCAATGGAGATGATTAAGAAAAACAGACTTGCAGATACAGAGAAAAAGAGAGAGAGAGAGCGAGAAAAGCTTTCTTGTATTTCTAAAGTGTTAAGTTACATTCCTTACACCTTTGTTATATGTATTTATATGATTGCATTGCTTAATGCACAAGGTAGTATTCTAACAACAGATTCTAACAACCTTGTAACTTTCCTTGGATCTTGTGACACTTGTCATCATCTAGACCCTCAAATTCCCTTCACTTGGATTCTCATCTTTGTATTTGTTTACACTCTTACTTATAGGATGTTTTTTTTTCAGACTTTCTTGTGGTCTTAATTTAATATTTTGGTTTCAAGTAGGTTTCCAGCAAGATTACTATATATACAAACTTGTTGCACAGATCATCAGCACAACACATTTTATAGTTCGTTTGCCTTCAGTATTCGATAATATAAATATAAAGCTTTCTTCTTGCCTGCTAATTACTAAATAACCTCTTGAAGTGAACAAACATTTAGTTTGAGAAGCAAACATACATGGCAGGTTTTGACAGCTATAGATGGTCACTAAAGGGTATGACTGCCCTCATCATCAATGGAACCAAAGGCATAGGGTAATTAAATTTGCTACATATCTCTTATCTTCATTAATTTTATTTGTGTACTTGAAACATTCATGTTAACTTATTTCGTGTGAAACTTTTGTTGCGAATGCAATATTATCAAATATGCCATAGTGGAAGAACTAGTCGGACTTGGAGCAACCGTGCATACCTGTGCTCGTAGCAAAACCCAGATTCTTGAGAGACTTCAACAATGGGAAAACAAGGGATTCAAAGTGACTGGCTCAGTTTGTGATCTCACCTCTAAAGCACAAAGAGAGAACCTCATCAAAACTGTCTCCTCTATTTTTGATGGAAAACTTAGCATCCTTGTAGGTTCATTTATGACTAACACTACCTTAATTCGCAGCTTATTGATTAACATGAAGATGAGTTTTGACTTCGCTACATATGGTGCAATATGTAGGTAAATAGTGCTGCAACATGCAAACTTAGAGGAACCACATATTACACTTTGGAAGATTTCTCAACTATGATGGAAACCAATGTTGAATCCCCCTACCATCTTTCTCAACTTGCACACCCTCTCTTAAAGGCCTTTAGAAATGTGAGTATTGTCTTCGTTGCCTCCATTGTCGGTGTGGTAGCTTTACCGAAACTCTCTACTATGCAGCAACAAAAACCGTCCTATGTTGATTTTCAATTTCTCCAGAAATAACTGTCTCACACCTATAACATGTGTAAGATTACTACAGTATTAATTATTAACTACAAGACCTACAACATTACTACCATTGTTATCTTATAGGTGTAGTCATCCAAATTTCGAAGAACTTGGCATATGAATGGGCAAAAGACAACATTTGTACTAATGTTGTGGTGCCATGGGCTGTCAACATCGGAGTTAAAGTTGAATCTGTAAACACCCATCCGCCCTATACCTAAATATTGTTGAGTCCTTTGTGTCTTAACAATTTAATTACTATGTTTTAGGTGTATCTAATCTAACAATTAAACTTGATTTAATTTGTTTTTTCAGGACTGTCATTCTGATGATTTCAGACGCCTAATAGGTCGAACTCCCATCTGTCGCCTTGCATAGCCTAATGAAATCTCATCTTTGGTCACTTTCCTCTGCCTTCCTGCTACTTCTTACATCAATGGACAAGTTATTAACGTTGACGGAGGATTTACCGTTAGCGGTTTCTAGCAAAAACTCATCAATGTATAGGCTGCAAAATCGGCATCTTATCTATCTGATCACATATATCATCTAACAATCCCAATAATACTTCTTCAATTATTTCCTATGCCTATGGATAATATCAGTTCCTCCAAGTTGTTGATATGTCAAAATCTCTATGTTAGTAATAAGCCTCGGGGAAATAGTCAATCCAATCTCAGTTCATTCATTCAAAAAAATACTTCTGTCGTTAAAAAGTCTCTATAATAATTGTAGACATGTAAATTTTGTTGCATACAAATGATGCAGTACAAAGCTCCACGTGGCATACTAATTTTATTTTAAAAAATTATGGAATAAACATATAAATGTTGCAGTCCTATTAGATTAGGAATGTGATTATGTAAATCCTAGTAGATATATGAATATCTCTTATATTCCTATTAGGAGTTGATTACTTATTAAGAGTTGTAATCCTAAAAGGGTAAGGATTTTACCTATCCTACTACTATAAATAAAGGCACAATGGGGTGGAATAGAACACACACACAATTACACATCTCTCTCTTCTCTCTCTATGCCGCACCATCTCTTTCTGGCCTCCATAATTGTTTAGTAAATTATGTCTACAACACGTTATCAGCACACTGTTGACGCTGCACTAAAGAGAGTTTATTCTTCAATCAGAAGAGTATTACGTTTTAATCATTCTTTTTATAATTAATTTATTATTTTATTGAATTGATCTACATGTTATTGATTCAATTTAATTTTTCTATGTTGAACGTGATACAACACATTGGAGATGCAATTTTAACTTGCCGAGAAGGATATTCTACAAATTCAAAGGTTTTTGTTGTTTTCTGTCACTCAGGTACGCTTAAAATAAAGGAAGATATTTGAAACGACCATGAAGCATGAAAACATTTCCCATGATGCATGAACCCCTTATATTTATATTTTCCTTTCGATATATATATATATATATATATATTGTATATGTTTATATATTTTTCAATATATATATATATATATATTTGTTTCATGCATTACGCAATTATATTTGCTATGTGGAATATGTGAGTCAAAATATATTCATAAATTAGAAGCAAATCTAGGGTTTGTAAAACCCTAACAATTTCAAAGAAAAAAAAGGAGGAAATTGGACATCACGACACCACCACCGTTGGCAAAGTCGCTGGATTGAAGTCCAACTGACCATCATAGCAACCAGGCCTCGGCCTGGGGTCAATCTAGATAGGACATGAAGCCCTACGCCCACCAAAGTCCTTCTGGCCTGACTGCCAGCAAGCCTTTGTGCTTGCTGCAACTTCTTGTTGCCCCGACCCGCAACCATTCCACCAGCCTAGTTGGCTGGGTCCTTTCCCACTACCCATGCCTCAGTCAGCCAGCCCACGAGGCTGGGCTTAGTCCTCGTGAGCATAAACCCGCAGGCCATCACTTCCCTAGGCCTAACCCGTGTACACAAACCCACAAACCAGACACCCAGTTGCGATTGGGGTTTCTCTCACACCCGTAGGCCTCTGGGCCTACCCCTGCTGCTGGGCTCATGTCATTTGGCCAGTTGCTTGAAGCCATTACATGGGCTGCTATTGCAGCCATACCCGTGCCCTTTGCTCACGGCACCCAGCCCAATTTTTGGGCTATGGTATTTTCAACCCAACACTATTATTTTAGCAATATTTTACTTCTACGATCGACCCCGTTTAGTCCCAATCTATTGAATTAATTAAAAGTGACATGCAGTCCATTAATCTGATAATGAATCCAAAATTATTGACCTGAAGATCACTTTTGGACATTAACGATTCAATAATTTATTTTTATACTTTGAACCATTGACATACTTTCGTAGTAACGAAGCTCTCACACTTGAGTTCCCGAAGAACCTCAAATCCACTACACTGAAATCAGCATATTGCATTTTGTGTTCTTGCATAAACCTCTCTTTTATGAACTAAACGTTCGTAAACTAAATTGAACCTGTAGTTTCAAATTTGTGCCTTTGAAACCCGAAGTTTTCATAAAACAATACACCCATGAAAACCTAACGTTTTTCATGAAAACCATGTTTTAAAACTCGAATGTTCTAACTTTGATGCTTATGGATGATTCATTCCTATAGCACCAATCACAATCTTGTTCCTTCCAAATTCAATGGATTGTTGAACCGTCACAAGTTCGATTTCCCTTATTTGGACGTTTCTAATAGAAACCACTTTATGTGGGGCACAAGACATTGCCTGAAGCACACCATGATTACGTCCATGAATGAGTACAATTCTGAAATTTATAAATCCGATCGAATTTTGACTAGATAATACTTTTCTCATCCTTCCATGTTTCTAATTCATTCCTGAATCAGCAATGTAGAAAGCGGAAGCTTACCAAATTCTCGAATCTGATTACTACCACATATGTCAGAGAATGGCATAGACTCGGTTCGGCTGAAGTCTACTGAATGGCTCAATCCAGTTTGATCACAGCCTACCGAATGATGGTGCCTTACTTGGGCGGAGGTGCACCGAACGGTGCTGCTCTGCTTCTCCAAAGACTTACCGAACAGACCTTTTCAGCTTTGGTTGGAGCCTACCGAATTTATTTCGGGGTATGTCTCCCTCACGATCCAATTTTGATTTTGTTTTTACAACGTATAGTAGAATCAGGGCCTGCCAAGGTGTGGCATCATGCTCGAAGCATGATCCTTGGCACTTAAGACCTAAAAACTTCATGAATAAGGGAAAATATTCCTGAACCTTAACCCTGCAGAATCTACTTTCGTCTCAATGGAATAGATCATTGGTTATGCACCTATTTGTGCCCCTACCAATGTTGTTGAGGAGTACCATTCTCATAGTCAATATGTGAGATTAATTTTGCTTCACCAAACGCCATTGGAAAAGCAGAATTTTGACATGAATGGCCTTGTTGGCCGAATCCACCCTAGTAACTTTGGTTTACTTTGTGAACGTTTTTCCTTGTTCTTGGATTCAAGTTTGGTGTATGTTTTACTTATGGATAATCTTATTGATATTTTCCTCGAATATGAGTTAATTGAATCATGTTTCTATATACATGTGACCAATTCAATTAAATGCGTACTACGCACACTAACTTTACACCTAAATCACATCTCTAACAACGACTTCAAGTCTATCCAACCTGATTAAAAGTATTGGCACACTCCTCGTTGTATGAATGGTACCGAATTATCATTTAAGGGACCTTAAATTCTCTATGTCGTTTTAAGGATATTTGAGAGAACAATGATCATAAATGAAACCACCGACGAAAATAGAGTGGAATATCTTTGCACCACCTCCAAAAATGAGCATGCAACTTTGATTTAGGGCCAATGGGTTGTCTTCCAATTGGGAACACACCACATGTGGCCGGCATAGAGCCTAGTGATTAAGCAGTTTACTTGCTTTGGCACGACCATTTGGGTTGAACAATGATGCTACGACGCATCTCCTTACCTGAAGTAAGGATCTTGTGCCTACAAGCATACTTTGCCAAGCCTCCTCATTAGGGAAATTGATTTTCTATATCATTTCTCGCAAAAATACGAAATCACCATTTTTCATAAGTGGATTCAAGGGAATATATGTGGACTAATCCAACCAAAATGCAGACCATATAAATACTTATGGTTTTGGTTAATGAATCAACAAACTGGTCACATGTTTGTCCACACACATTGCTGCTAAACCCCCTAGCCGATTAAGGGTTCACCACCCTACTTATCCTTTAAGGTCTGGGAGACTGGATAATGTCAGAGAGTTTATATCGACAGTTTTCGATAAAGTATTGCATGTGTTTTGAGTTTATTGAACATCGAATTCTCACATTCACCCCAAATAGCCTCGCCTAGTGATCATAAAGCGCACTTTAAATGATCGCCCGAATTTTGGTAAACATACCAAGTTTTCGGTTTCTGCCTAGGGCTATGCAATCTTGTACACAGTTATGTTGGTCTGCCTTGAAGCTCATTGCCACCCAACATATATGATGTTACAGTTGGTTACTGGGTACGAACCTGACGATTTTCGTATTTATGCATTTGGGTGTGCATTCCATGTGCCAAGTTGCGCCGCCGCAACATACCAACATGGGTCCTCAAAGAAAGATGTGAATCTTTGTCAATCATGATTCTTCTTCACATTAGCTCTCTTCGAGCCCTTGCACGCGATCTCTTTATTGCTCATTTGTGGGTTATCACTTTAATGAGACAGTTTTCCCATCGTTAAGGGGAAATAAGAACGTTAATGTTCCTAGAGAACGGCGCGAATTTGATTCGATTTTGCCCATTATGTCTTATCTTTATCCCTGTACCGCACAAGTATGATAAGCAAGTGCGATGAATTCTAGATTTTATAATGTTGCTCCAGACGCATTCCTCTGATCTAGCTAAAGTGACGAGATCATATATCAGCTGCAAACATGCCTGCAATAATAAATGTACTTAATGGACGTCGAGTCAACATCCCTAGAAGGTGTGTCGCCCCTGTTCA